CTCCCCGCCCCAAGTTGTAAAGTTCATTTGCAACATAGTGTCTTGTACCTCTCATTGTTAAGATGGGTCAACCTGTATCCTCATTTCAGCATTTTGTTATTTCCCTTCCCCTCCCCAAATTAGAAAAATGTATATACAAGATGCAGGGCACTGGAATCAAATACAGTGAAAACAGGGGTTATACCATGGGGGAAGAACATATGAAAGAAACTAAGGAAATCACACAGTACATTATAAGTACATTAAAATCAACAGCAACAAAAATAAAACCTCTTGTGTCCCTATCTTGGGATACATTTCACTTATCATCATCTTATATGGTCATATATCCATAGCTTTGACCTTTTCTGCTTGTCTTACACATACACTAGTTATTGAAGATAAGGAAAACCTATGTTTCTTTGGGCCTGGCTTACTTCACTTAACATAATTTTTTCCAAGTCTTTCCATTTCCTAACAAATGGGGCAGTGATATTCTTGCTGATGGAGGTATAGAATTCCATTGTGTGTGGGGTGTGTGTGTGGTGTGTGTGTGTGTGTGTGTGTGTGTGTATGTGTGTGTGTGTGTGTGTATCACATTTCCTTAATCCATTCATCTACTGAGGGGCATCTGGGTTGGTTCCATATCTTAGGTATGGTGAATAATGCTGCGATAAACATAGTTGTGCTGGTTGCTTTAGTATGGCCTTGTTTGTGATCGTTTGGGTAAATCTGGAATCATCTTTTGAGCCTTCTTTTCTCTCTCCTTCGTGTCCTCATTTTCTGCTCTACTACTGTGTACATTTTGTAAGCTTCCTCCAGTCTTTTAAATTTTTTTTTTGGAGCAAGCACCACAGGCCATTCATACAGTAATTAGAATTGAATTTATAATATAAATTTCATAGATGTTGATTTTGTTATTTCATTTTGAGATCTTGTTTTTGTTCTCCAGCTGGTTGTTTTTAATGGAGTTTTATTTTTATTTTATGGAGTCAATAACTTTTGGCTCTTGTCTGTCTGGAGATGTTAATAATTTTAAATTAGGTTTTGCTTTTCTCTGGTCCAGTCTCCCCACCTTGTGGGGTTGTAGACTTTGCTCAGATATCTGAAGATACTTGGTTGCTGGCTTCTGTTGAAAAGTGGGGGTATGAAAGAACTTCCTGAGAGCACTGAATCTGTGAGGGAACCCCAAGCTAACTTGGGGGGCTCAATAAGGTGCTGCTCAAAGGGCAAGAAAATACAGTCAGCCTTCAGAGTGGAGGGTGAAGAGCTGGTGAGAGTAGAAGAGGTCCGCGTCTCAGTGATGAGATTTTACATCCTTATCAGAGGGCAGTAGGGAACTTTGCAACACTCTGAGCTGCACAGGTGTTGGCCCATTCTTACCTGGCTGGAGACTACCATTCCCGAGAGCTCCGTTTTATGCCTTTGGGGTGAGAAGAGAGCTCCTCAGTGATATGGAGTAACGGTGAAGATTGGGGGGAATTGGAGAGTTCACTTCCTTCCCAAAATAACTTCCACCAAGTTTGGTCTCCTTCCACTCTGCTTAATGGTCCGGGGAGACCGATAGGTGCCTGCCCACAGGCCTTTGGGGAAATCTTTGGGCTGGCTTTCAGCCTCCTGATGCTGGCTGTAAATTTAGCTCTGATACCCAGGTCATTACACAATCAGTGTATCAGTTCCACCCCCCCAAGTCTGCTTGTGGACATCATCTCTCCTGCTTTTCCAAAGCTGTGGACATCTGTCTTCAAAAAAAATCTTTAAGTGTAGTTCTGGCTTGATTTTGGAGGAAGAAATGCTAGATACTGTTAGTTCAGTCAATCATTACAACACAGTAGGCCTTCAATTCCGTTCTTCATTTCCTCAGATAACTCACTAGTATAGGTATTAACTCTTCTTGCAGTTCATTGGATTGGAGGCTGTCGATAAATGATTTAACATCTCTCTGAATCTTGCTTTCTCCTCTCCAAAAGAGGAATATATCTTGTCTTACCTCTCTTATGAGTTGTTTCAGTTTGCCTGAGTTATTGTGCGGATAACTTGAGTGACTCTCCAAGAACAGAACAACCATCCGTTCATGCACAGCTTAGGCAGAAACAGACTCACAGTGTGGCATGAAAATCCTCCTGGGCCAGTGACAGCACAGAGGCAGGAAAGACTTTTGCTTTTCATCCTGGTTTCCACACCAGCAACTTAATACCACCTTCCACTTCTGCTAACAAAGCCCAGGAGGTGACAGGGAAATGATTCGAATCCCAGGGAGAGAGCAGGTAACAGCTTCATCCTGACCTGGGAGCCAAATGACTGGTGTCTGCCCAGAAGTTTTGGAAGAGCAATTATTCTCTTCATTTTGCTGTCTGCTCTCTCTTTCCATGACCGCCATTTTCTTTGAGGTAAACCACTTTAGTAATCCTCCAGTATCTACCACTTTCTCCATTTTCTGATTTTGCATTTCTCCTTTGCAAGGCCAACTGAGACTCAGATCTGCAGCAGAGAAGAGTCTGTGGGCTCATTTGTCTCCAGTGAGGACAGAGGGAACAAGATCCCTAAGTCCTTGGAACCATCCTACACCAAAAAGGGAAAGGTAGACATGCCAAACTTTTGGACTTCCTCTTAAGGGGTTAAACCTCCTGAAGGGAAGTTTCAGGGGGGAGAGGAGGTCTAAACCTTCTTTGCAATGACAGCCATCTGGCCTCTCCCCCTTCTCATCTTTCCTTGTCCTTGAAAAGAGTGGAGTGTAAAGAAGCATCGATTAGGCAGTATCCCATTTCCAGGAATCAATTCTGATGGTGTACATGTCCAATGGGGACCTTCCCTCCCTCCCCCCCTCCCAGGAGGCAGCTCAGGCCTTCTTGGCTGAGTCTCTGTGGTGAAGAAGGAAGGGACTCAAGTCAGACAACACAACACTGAGGGCATCTGGGAGGATGGAAGAGACAGGACAGTCCTGGGTAGTTTAATAAGAAGTATGACAGGTGGGAATGTTCTTCTCCTTCCTTCCCTTATTTCAGGCTGGCAGTGGCTGGCTGTGCAGAAAGTTTGGCTCACGTGTTCATATTGTAATTGAACCACACTTTCACCAAAGCTTCATCTGACTCATTTAGCAACATGAGCAATCGTACAGTGCTGCGTGATAATGAGGCACCCTTGGCAGCTCGCAGAAGTGGCGATGCGAGTGTTACTTTTACCTGGCAAGGGCAGGGTGCCAGGTTGGCAGGGGAAGGCCAAGACCTGAGCGCAACTGAAATGTGCTCCACTGCCCTCTGAAGGATCTCTGCCTCCGGGGGGCTAGGGCTCTGACTGCCTTCTTCTACAGCTCCTGCCTCTTTAGAGAGGAGGGGTCACCCATGGTTTTCCTCCTATGCCCTTTCCTGTTCCCCAGCTAGGGTTGTCAGTGTCTGATTTGCCATGTCAGGACAAGGAGATCAGATCCCTCCTCTAGAAGAACCTCAAGCCAAACAGAGCCACGGTTCTTTGATTTGTTCTGCATGCTAGCCCTAGCTAGAATGTGAGAGAAGAATGGAGGAGATGCCCCCTTGTGAGATCTGAAGACAGCAAAATGTTCTCCACCAAGACCCTGGGGCATTTGTCTCTGGGGTGAGACGATATTGTTGGGGCAACAGGTGGTGGCATGGCTGTTTCTAGGCAGGCACGCACTCATGCTTGCTTCCTCCTCCTCTCTCTTTGAGAGATGCATGTCTCCGGGTCCTTCAGGCTGCTCTGCAATGCCCCAGGGGAGTTGGAGCTGGACAAATGGCTTTGCTTCCATTTGGAGGCCTGCTGGCAGGCTGGAGCTGGTGGGTGGGCCCACATGTCGAGGAGAGCAAGAGGCAGCCAGCTGCAGGTGGAGACAGGGCAGGTGAAAGGTATGGCTTGCCTGACAGGGGCTGGGGAAAGGTGCTCATTAGGATGATCAGTTCATGGGGGAAAAAAAAGAGTGGGGAGACCAAAGTTTATGTCTGCAAAAATGGTATGTTGAGGGGTGTGTGTCTGTGTGTCTGTGTGTCTGTGTCTGTGTCTGCGTCTGTGTGGTAACAGTGCTAGCCACCTCTAGACACAGTAGGGCAGGGCTAGGGAAAAAGCCTAAGCCAAGGAAGGCACTAAGAAGCCTGCTGAGACATGAGAGAGAAAGAGAGAGGGGGGAGAGAGGGAGGGAGAGAAGGAGAGAGATGAGAAGAGAGAGAGGAGGGAGAGAGAGAGTGTGTGTTAGGGGGGAAGGGAGGGAAGGAGGAAGGGAGGGAGACCAGCCCTCTCCTTTCTGCTAAAAATACAGTGCTTCCAGGCATTCTTTTCCTCCCTAAGCCATTCCTGGCTTTTTCTGATGGGTCACAAGGAATGGAGCAGAAAAGGTGCTGACTCTGAACACAGGGCTTGACCTAAGGGTGGAGGACTGGAGTCAAGCACTAGAAAGGGGCTGAGATGAGGGCAGGAAGTATGGCTGGCACTCTAGCCCCACATACAGGCAAGCTGAAGCTTTGAGAGCCAGCGTGGAGCAGAGGGAAAGGAGCACAAAACCCCACCAGCTGGATGGAGCAGCCGCACACAACTGAGATCCTTTTCAGCTCCAACAATGCACCTCCAGGGTTCTTGTCTCTCTGAGAGGCTGACTAATACTGCCATTAGCCACATTTATCTGGGTTCAGATCCTTGTGCTACAACTTATGAGCTGCTTGCATTTTAGCAAGTGGCTCCTTTTTTGTAGACAGGGAGAAAAGCAACTCCATCTCTGAAGGATGAAATAGATGCATGAGAAGAGCAGCAGTTTCCGGCATGAATGATGTATGCAAGCAATGGTGGGTTTAGCATGATGAGCTCTTCTTTGCTTTAGAAGGAGACAGGGAAGAGAGAGGAGAGGAGGACGCTTTCCTCCACAAAGGAAGTTCTGTTGTAGGAGCCTGTTTGAGAAGGGAAGGTTGTTGTCTTGTTCCAGTAGCGTCTAACCTCTCTGTCCTACTGCTGGGCAAGGGCGCCCCTGCTCTGCGTCCCAGCTTCTGATACTGACGGCTGCCCACTTGCCTTCCCCACAGACCTGCGCAGAATGACGGCTGGCTTCATGGGCATGGCGGTGGCCATCATCCTCTTCGGCTGGATCATCGGAGTGCTCGGCTGCTGCTGGGACCGAGGCCTTATGCAGTATGTGGCAGGGCTTCTCTTCCTCATGGGAGGTAAGGCTGCTGGCCTAGGAGGGGATGGGGATGGGAAAGATCCTGGTTCCTGGAGTTGTGGGAGAATGGCAAGAGGGTATGACAGATGAGCCATGACTTGACTGGGGCTTTCCTCATTCACTCGTTCATTGGCTCATCCAAAGGTCTCCCAGTTCCCACATGCCAGTACACCAGCTGTTAATGATGCCAAAGAAAAATCAGACATGGTCCTCACTCTCTAGGGGACCTGGGATCTGACTGCCCTGTCACTGTGGCTTTGGAGATTTGGGTTACGGCAAATGGAAATCTAGAGTATGCATGAGCCCAGGATGTACTGGGGCCTGTAATACACCTGGGCCCTTTGCTTTGGTGTGGGAGGAAAGGAGGAGGTACTTTCTCTCCAAAGGCCCATGTTCACCCTTGGGCCCTAACCTCCCTCCTACATGACCTCCTCCCCTGCTGTTTAAAATAAAGCAATGGTGGGGGCCAAGGCTCAACCCTCCCCTGTCAGTCTCCCTTGAGACTGAGCCAATCCAGTGTCTTCTAACAAGGATTGCATAGAAGGAGAACTACAGCTATATGATAATATGGTATCACATGAAGTAGAAGTTCATCTACCATCTGCCTGTGCCTCCTCCTTCCTTTCAGAGCTAGAATGCACCTTTTTGTTTCCTGGCTGGAGTCTCAGTCCAGAGTTGAAGTTTTAGACTGCTCAGAGGAGGCAGAAGGGTGAATTATATGGGGCTTGGTAGAAGAGGTATGGGACTGGACAGAGGGAATCAGAAATATTTGTGGATATAAGGGACAGTGAGTCCCCAGGAAGACAAAAATGTTGATTCGCTTCAAGCACCATGCAACCATCCAACTCGGGTCCCCTTTGTGGTCAACCAGAGTTTCTGAGCAGAGGAATGGGGACACAAGGCTCTTTCCCCTACAGGTTAGTTGGAGGGAAAGGAGAACTTGTCTCTCTCACTGCACAGAAAGATCTCTAGGGCCCAGAGAGCATCGTACAACGGGACCTGAATGCTTACCCTTTTCCTTGAATCACACTCTCCTGTGCCCTAGACCAGCAAGGCTTTCCAAGGAGCTGCCGTGTAGGCCTCACCTCTCTGCCATTAGAATGAGGATGTGGCAGAGCTGCTCCCTCATCTGTGGATGTGGCAGAGATGGGGAGAGATAGGAACATGTTGGACTCTGTGATCATGGGTTGGGTACCCTCCAGGTCTGCTACAGGGAAAGGCTCACAAAAGAGCCTCCCTTACTTTCTCTAGGTCTCTGTCCTCTTCAGTGAAATAAGGAATCAAGCCAGCTCATGCTTCTCACACTATATTTTACCACGGAGTCCCTTTTGTTGCCTTTTCTCAATCCAACTTTTACACGGACCCTGGAATGTAACAAGTTAAAAGTGAGGCAGTTCTGTTTGTAGTGAGGCCTAGCACTGAGGCTCTTTTCAATACACAAAGCACGCTCCACTAAAACAGGGCTATCCTGCGGCTCTAGAGAGGTCTCCCAGGAATCTGAGAAAAGCTGAGCAAACAGGCCTCGGGCAGAGCAGGAATCCAGTGAGCCCTAGGGGCTGGCTGGCTTTCATCTCCACCTCTTTCCTGGTGTTTCAGGTCCTAGGCACATTCTCTACTGTCTCCTCTCCTCAGGCACACACACAGATTCAGCTCCTGCCAGGTGCCAAGCCTGAGACCTTTCAACTCTTCAAGAACTTCCTTCTTGACTGCTTCAGTCAGCTTGTAAACAAACAACAAGAAGGTGATTGGTTGTTTTTTTTTGTTGTTTTGTTTTCTGATCAGGTCACACATTGTAGGCCAGACAATAAGCTGGCCAGGATGGCGAGATAGTGGTGAGGCCAATAGCTGTGACTCTCACTGGATCCTGTCCCTCCCCCTCACCTGAGACCCTCCTAAAGGGGTGAACTGAGGCAGACAGTGAGGACAAGAAGGGGGCCTGGAACTCTTCCATTGCTGAGACACCAACCAGAAGCCTGGGGGCTCTGGGCAGCATCTGGATTGGATTAAAAACGGAGGCCACTCCTTACAGGGTGGCAGAGTTAGGAGCCTTGTCCTCTTGTTCAGGTTGTGGTGGCCCCACCCAACTGCATATGGGAGATCCCCGAGGAACTTCTACAGACACAGATGCTAGGCCCCACGCATACCAAGCAGAGCTTCTGAGGTGCTCTTCACCTGCAGCCTCAAGAGCCAGTGGGACAGAGGAGCCTTAGAGCTCTTCCTAGCTCTAATATCTTACGATAGGAGAGACAAACTCATTGTCCAAGACTTCTCATGATTTAATCTTGGCCTTTTATGACTGTTTCTCCAAGCATTACACAGTAAAAGAATTCAGTGCTCACGGGCCTCAGATATTACAGGGAGGGCCTCAGCCCTGATTACGAAAGGCCCAGATAAATTTTCTTCTCTTGGACATGCGTTATAGTTTCTAAACCACATAACCACGTTTTCTGATAAAGTATTGGTGTGATGACAGGCTTTGAGGAAGCTGCTGTGCTAAGAGCTATTTCTTGTTAACGGGTGCCACCCGAGACTGGAGCGAATCCATCTCATCCACAGGTCATGCAGGCTTCTCTGCCATCCTGGAGCTTTGCCATCTGTGTTCCTAGGTAAAGTGATATCCTCCTGAAAGCCTGGGTGGGAAATGGTAGCCTCATACTTTTGGGTACTAATAGGCCATGGACCAACAGAAAGGACTAATGACCAAAGCCACTAGCTGCTGAGCCTTTGAATGGTGGTCTTTTCTGGAAGGTAAAGGAAAATCTGGGGAATGGGAGGGACTCTACCCTCCTCAAACTAGCATCCTTTGCAGTGAGCTGAGACCTAGCCCTGGGATCCCAGAAGCCCAGGGCAGCCCCCGTGTGCTGATCCAGGAGCTTGATTTAGTTAGGAAGTGGGCACTATTAAGGAGAACAAACCAGGTTTAGAGGCTGCATACTTCCAGGCTCTGCTCAGCTGTGACAGCTCTACTGAGAGGTTGGGCACCAAACTAGACGTGACTCATTGTCCAAGGCCTTGCATGCTTTTGTTTTTTAACCTTGATCTTTTATGACTCCTTCTCTTAGCCTTGTGCAACAAGAGTCTGTTCTGTGTCAATACACCTTGACCTGTAGAACCCTGTGTCGAAGAGACATGTCAGTGTCGATGCTTCTCAGAACCTCGCCAGCACCTGATCTCTAGGGGTGAATCTCTAATGGTGACCCTGTTGAAGAAGTTGGCGTGACAGGCACCTGTTCGATACAGTTAAACCATCTCTCACTCAAACCATGTAGATTTTTTTTTTACAAGAGTGGGACAAAAAACTTCACGTAGCCTTCGCTTTCCTCTAGATTTGTTACTGAACACCAACACATAGCCAGAGTTTGGTTCAGCTGCAAGTAAAAGCTAACCAAGGGGGACCAAGAGCATCTTGGGCTGACTAGCATGGAGGTGGTGAGCAGGTAGGAAAAGAACGGGACAACAAGAATGAGAAAGATATATTTGGTGTCTTGATTCCAAAGATGGAATTGGAGGTCACTTTAGGCGAAGCTGTCCAGGGACCAAATAAACACACAGAGACTCTAGTCACACCCTTTGTGCACGGAGTCTTTCCTCTTTGCTGCCTCAATTCTTCCTCTTTGTGACTCAGCCTGCACTGGGTACTTCTCTGTTCCAGACGTAACTATTTCTGAGTTAAAGAGAGGGCATCTTGCACCCTGTGCTGTGAAATAACACAACCAATTGTTTAATTGATGCCCAACCCAAAGGAGGCAATTAATTAAGCAGGGCAATGTTGTCTGGCCAGGAGGGGAGGGAAGGCGGGTGGGAGTTGGCTTCCCTTTTGGCAGTGGCTCCAGGGAGATTCTAGCTCAGACTGGTACAACAGCCTTTGGATGCCAGCAGTTGCCCTGATGAATCATCCATGCTGTTCAGAGGCTCAGGAACAGGATGACACAGGGACAGATTGCCTGGCAAGGGAGCATGGACTACTGTGGTCACCTGTGTCTCCCTCCCAGAGAACACCTTGTGAGGAGACGTCTACAAAATGAAGTAGAACACCCAGTCCATGTCCCACCCTTCCAAGACTCCTCCCACAATTCCCTCACCCTCACTGGAAGCCATCCATTCTCCCTACATCAGCTGGGTCTTAAGACTCCACCATCTCTTCTCAAGACTAATACTGGATCCTCCTACCTGACTGACCCATCTCCACTTGGGCTAACAGCACAGCTAACCTAATTTTTAACTGCCAGTCAGATACCACTCCCTTACTACTAATTACCTACTATTAACGGTCCAATGATTTCTAGATGAACTTACAATCCTAACTCCTCATTCTTCTTTAGAACCCATCTGTAGTCTAGCTGATCTTGCCTAACTCATGTCCTCTGGACACAGCCTTGTATCCACGTCACTTGGCTCACACTGACTGCCTGTCTATCCCAGAACACCCAAAGTGTGACTTCAGGGTTCTGGAGCCAGTTGACACCTTGGCTCATAGCACTTTCCCTCAAAGATCTATTACACACACACACACACACACACATACACTTGTGCCCTCCATTGAGCACTCTCCTCTTTATTAACATGTTTACTTTAAAGTGGCACATTTGTTATAATTAATTAATACCGGTACTTTATGATTACCTGAAGTCCACAGTGACTTCAGATTCCTTTCGTGTTACTTGAAGTATTTTTCTTTTCCTGGATCCCATCCAGGATGCCACATTGCCTTTAATTCTCATGTCATCTTAGGCTCCTCTTGGCTGTAGTAGTTTCTCAGACCTTCCTTGTTTTCCATGACTTTGGCAGTTATTAAGAGCTGGTGGAAGCATATTGTAGGATGCCTCTCTATTGAGATTTGTCTGATGGTCTTCTCATGATTATTCTAGGTTATGAATTTGGGGGGAAAGGCCACAGAGAGAGCGCCATTTTATCACATCATTTCAATATCATTTATGATGATGGATGTTGTCCTTAGTACCTGGTGAAAGTAGAGTTTGTTGTGAATCTTCAAACCATCCC